CCATTTGAGGCTTGCTTACATAAAATAGTTCTTTATTTATTGAGGCTTTAAGATCATAAAATACCTGCTAACATATTTCACTTAACTGTATTAGTATGGATGCCAATTTTTTTTATATTTATAATTTATTATCATATTTTAATCATTTAAGCAAAAATTAGTTTGTTAAAGTTTTTATTTTATTTTAGAAATAACTATTTCTCTATCTTCTTTTAGGCATGAGAGATTAGCTTCCTTCAAGCTAAGAAAGTTTTCTTAAGTAAAGTTCATCAATATATAAGGACCACTTTTTAGATGACAAATAAGCCGTTATATTCAATTATTTTGCAAATTTGTGTCTTTATGATGACTATTCCTATAATGCAAGAGAAAATAAAAATGATAAAAATAAAACTAGATTCTTTACTTGTTGTAATAAATTTTCTTCATGATTTGACATATTTTACTAAGTTTTACTATCACCTCTTTATACAATAAAATTAAGAGAAAATAAATCCATTCAAGAAGTAAAATAAAAATCTAATGGAAAAGATAGGCTAAAATTACGTAGGCAAAGTGATAGAATGATAATTTATTGAAGTGCATTGGTTCTCCAAGATCTTTCATTATTATCTCATTCTACCGTCTAAGAGTGAAATGTTTATATATTTGTCATTTGTTATATATTATACTGTTATTATATTTTCTAATTTATTTAAATTTTTTTAAAAGTATAGGTGAAGTTTGAAAAGATTGCCTAAAATACTACAAAGCATGTTAGATAGAGGGATGATTAGTGAAGGGACACACGCTTGGGAGCACACTTGCGAAACACTTAACATAGGGCATACTGCATTTGATGTAATCCATATTTATCGAAGGAGGAAGAAGACTAGACCATTGTGCTAATTTGATTTAGTTTAGGCATTGTATTTATATTTTATTAAATTTTGTATACATACATATATATATATATGTCATTATGACTTTTTTAGTTTATTTTAATAAATATAAAATAAAAATATAATACCACACTGTATGATGACTTAATAATATTTGTACCTTATACTAATTTAAAAAATATAACTTAAATATTCTTAGTAAATAAAATATTTTTTTATATTATAAATACTTAAAGTATAAAGTTTGAAAAGTAATATATACTACAACTTTTCTTTTGTGTAAAACTATAAATACAATATGTTTAACTATTCAGTTGTAATATTTATATATTCTATTGTTTTCAGCACACATGAGTTGAAGTGTTGTATACAACTAATATATGTAAATTTTTATGCACAAGCTTCATCATGATAATATTTGTACTATTGAAGAGTAGTAAGAGGTATTGATGAATTATTTTTCTAAAACACTTGTAAATGTTTACAATATACAACCATATTAATAATCCAATGTACATGTGTAGTTTTTAGCATTAAATAATCATTAAAAAAATGGTGAGTTATACTTGAACAAAATGGCAATTGTAGACAAATTTAATAAATATCATATAAATGACTTACACGAGATACACGTTGTCAACTTTTAAGAGGAAACAATGTCATAGACCAATATTGGAAGATAGATAAGGACTGAATTATATCTTGAACTAATTACATAACTCATTCGTTATAGTGATCCACTTATCAACAAATGTAATTTTGTAGTTATCAACGTATAATAAGTTAATTAGTTTGTGTATTTGTTGATTGCTACCAAAAAGATTCACATAATGCAAATGTAAATTTTGAATCTCTCAAATAAAATCAATACAAATCTAAGTCTATGATTCCTCACTCTTGTTAAGTAATGTTGCAACTGCACGGTAGTCACAATTTCCCTTGCTTTTATATCAAAATATGATCTATATATTCATGGATTTCACTAGAAAAATGATTTAATAATGACATAGTTTTTATTGTTTACATTCTTTGGTAAATGCTTGACTTAAGGGATGAGAGAGAGTGCTATCATAGATAGAATGTAGGGAATCAATTTACTCAAAATATGATGGATCACATTAATTTCAAAAATATGATTAACAAGATTCTAGAATAAAACTTCCAAAAACTTAATTTCAAAAGTTTTTTTATTTTTTGAATAAAATTAAAAAATAAATATGAATTTTTATCTAAACCCTAAAAAAATCATAAAAAATATTTAATATTTAATTATCCTGATTTTAACATTGTTAGATATATACAAAAAAAGATGACGTTGTTATAATGAGATTGATTCAGTTGCATATGTCAAAGCATTGATCGTTACTATAATAATTTTAAAAACTAACCCTAATATTAATAAGGGTATTTATGAAAAATAAATAGAAAAAAATAAAATAAAAGTTGCAAATGGAAGAAATGGGCTGCAAAAAGAAACCATGTGATTAACATTTTCTTATAACTACTGGACTCAATGATAGCAAAGTTCAAGCAACTTGGCCCATGAAACTTTGTAAGCGTATATATTAAAAAGTCGGTTTATGATTGTTTTGTTATGAAAATGATTTTTTTACATCCTATCACAAGGATGTGAAATGGATGAAAGGAAGAGATAAATATGAAGAAAAGAGAAAAAAGAAAAAAGAAAAGTAAGAGTCGTGTGAATTATGTGATAAAGAAAGGGATAGATAAAAAAAAGAATAGAGAATGAAAATATATATTAGGAGTGGGTGTAAAAATAGAAGTTGATTTTGTTAAACGTTGATATTTTAATGTTACTGAAATGTAATTTCCTAAATATGTAAAAAGAAAAATCTTAATCTTTTGTCACTGAAGAAAAACAGTTAATGGGGGGTAATCTAGAGCTAGTTAATTAAAGCAAATTTAGCACAGTTGCTTACTTCAATTTCATCAAAATGCTACATCTACATCTAAGTACCATTCCTTATAGAAGCAAGACATAATAACATAAAAGTGGGTACGATTGGTTTTTTTTTTTTTTTTTTTTTTGTCTTTTACAAAGTCTAGAGGTGAGAAAAATTCTTCGGTTAAGAAAAGCTCTTACGGATTCGACCAAAAGAAAAATCCCTGGAATGGAAAGGGGTTTCCCTGCCGCCTCCACTTCCAGCAATTGTTCAATGATTACTCAATCTTTCTACTTATCTATTGAAACATCGCACACACTCAGAGACATATATGAATATCTTGAACTAACTTCACTTCATCATCACTGCTCCAAAACATACGGCAATCAGTGAAAAATCTCTCTGCTTACTACTGGTTGTTGTAAACGTCAATCATCACTCATCATAGAAAGATAAAAACCAGACAATAAATGGCACTTAGAGAGGATTAGTATTTGCTGTGCTGCAAGTAGCAGCCATAAACATTCAGGGTTTTGTTATAGTACATTGCATCCAAGTTTGTTGACCAGGGTCAACTCTGCTATGAATGGGTTAGTGCATGGTGCGCATATAATGTGCAATAGGACAATAAGATGTGTTCAGAAGTGAATGTCAGTGACCAGGGTGTGAGAGAGGGATTCAGATCCCCTCATGTTCGATTTTGAATATGACGGTCATGTTTGTGTATATAAAAATATACAAACATGACCGTCATGTTCGAAATCGAACATAAGAGAATCCTGGCGCGTGAGAGAGTGCACATAGTTAGAAAAGTTCTTGCATTGTGGACGGACTTTATCCTTTTGTACCATCCATATATGTCTGTTTATAATGTATGAAAAGCATGACCAAAGTATATGATCAATCTATTTTCTCTTTTTCCATTTCAATCAGTGTCACAAGTCTCTTCAGTCATCAACTTAGCATCATGCGTCAAAACATGTTCTTATTTGTGATTATGAGACAATATTCAGATGAGATTCATATCCTATAGCTAGTATTGGCTAAATACAAGTTATAATTGAAAAGGAGCAAGCAGTTGAGAACCAAGACAAGGAATTTCGGTATTTTTCCTTGCTAAAGAGTAATTATTACATAATCATGATAACTTTATTCCGTTAGAAACAAAAAAATATCTGCACAAGAGCAAATGACTTCGTCATTTGCAGCCTTTACATTCGTATACACATCAACAGCAAGCAAGATATACTTACAAAGAAGGGAAAAGCCAAAAATTAAACAGACAAGATGCTGATGAAAGAAACCAAGACAAGAATGCCATGGCAGCAGATAATTGATATCTACCACATAACTTTGCTGGGCAATAGGATCTATCGGCATCGAGCAAGAGATCTGTGACACTGGCTGTTGAACATGCTGCAGCAAGTGATAGATATGACAAAACCTGGGGTATAGAAAAACTGCAGTATCATTAGTGCATTAGTATAGTATGGAAGTAACAAGGACTATAAAGTTCTTTTTAGTCTCAAATTGCGCGTACCATGTCTCCCAAAAAGATTATCATTACAAGTTTTCGTTGAAGCGGTAGACACTTTATGAACACAGAGTACGCATCTACAACCAACAGTGTTATGCTCCAGGGAATTACCAAACCCATGACTGTTACCAAATAGCTGTGTAATCACACAAATAAAGAAAAAAGGTTAAAATCTGCAAGAGAAGGATATGCATACAATATAAGTTAGACAGGATAAACTCCAATACATTGCCCCAATGCAAATTTTGAAACTGGAAAAATAAGCATATATATACCCAGATCTTTTACCTCCTGTGAGTCAGACTGACTACAAATTTGCTGTATAAGCAAACTCCTTCTTTACAAAGAAATGTGTCATAATATGAAGGGTTCCACATGGCATGTGAAATTGCATTACATGGCTAATATAATTACAAAAAGGAAAAACTGGTAATTAAGAAAGCACTCACAAGACCACAGGCTTGAATGTGTGGAATCCCTAACCAATTAATTGAATATTGCCCACAGTACCACTCTCTGAGACCCACAACAAACTCAAAGAAATCCTCAATTAGTCATTCAGTTTTTATTTTAGCAACAATTCATGACAAACGCAACACAAATACATGGTTCCCCAACTCAAGTCTATCAAAATCTATTGGAGCCACCAAATCAAATACTTATGAATTGCCCTTGAAAAAGAGAATTGACGAGGCGAGAGGAAATTGAGAAAAGTTAAGGACTTTGGGAGAGCGGGCAGAGAATAAGAGAGAAGATGACCATAGGAAATTGAGAATCAAATACCAAAAAGCGGTGTAGCCGTAGAAATCGACGTCCAAACACATGAAGAGAAGAGACGCGGTAGAGAATACGGTTTGACCCAATCGGAGAGCAAAGCTGGCGCTGCTGCCAAACGCCCCTGGCAGCTCCTCCATTCTACCATGGTAATTCCCTCCCACACATCCCCATAACATCACACCTCACACTATCACTCTGCTTATAATAATAATAATAATAATAATCAAATATGAACAAGCTGTTTTAATTCAGCATATAAAAAATGGGAAATTTTTATTATGAATAAAATTATTATTTAGTGATGACATCATATATATTTCATTATATTATATTACTTGTTATTTATTAATGATTAAAATTATTTTTAAATACTTTATATATATATATATATATATATATAATAAACGCTAAAATCATATTAAATCATCAATAAAAGTATATTTTGCTAAAGAAAAATGGAGAGAAATAGCGAAGGGAAGAGGTGGGAATATGAATATTATGGGCATGAGTAATGAATGAGTGAAATGGGGAATTTAATATAATTAATTATGGTATTGACGATTGGGAGTGAATTCGAGAAGGGAATTAGTTCTTGTGATAAACAAAGTGGGTGAGGGCTCTTATCATCCACATTCACATTTCTCTCCCATTGTAGAATTAGGTTCAGTGATTTCGTCGGCGCGGTACCTGGCTGGATTCGCCTACGTGGGTCTGAATTATTCTGTCTAAACTGTACTAGTAATAATTGCATTAAAATATTTGAACAAGAAAACAATTAATCACTATTGTATTTTCTCCACTTTCATTATTGAGGATTTGTCCCCTACACTATTGTAGTAATTGGCACCACCCAAGGAACCATTTCAAATTCCTAAAATTGTGATTTTATTATGTAGGTATATATGCTCGCTTCTTTTTCCTAATTTCAAATGTGTTCTTAGAATAAGAATCTTTCTGTTTTTCAAAAATGTTTCTATTTTCCCTAATCACTGTTGTTTTATCATTTTCATCTTATCTTGACTCGCAAGCTCATCCCCTCAAATTACCAAAATATATTGCAAAAATATATTATTATAATAGTTGTTTTCTTCTTATATGTATAGCATACTAGGTTGGTGTCAAGTGTCATTCTCTTTCATTTGTTTTACGGTTTAATAGTAGGCAAAACTTATATATACCATGTCAGTTTCAACATCATGTTTGCTCATATCCAATAGTATATAAGCTTACTCATACGTTGTGCACGATATGTATTATGTTTATCAAACTAATTAAAGTATAATTTAGTACAAAAATATCTTCTCCTATCTAATAAGTGAATTGAGATAAAAATAAATTAATAACACATCTCATTAAAATAAATATAAATAAATTATATAAAATGGAAATAAAATGACATTAAAAAATAGAACAATTATAATAAGAATGACTGAAACTATTTTTGAAATACAAGTTATGATTTATAATTATCATCCATTTTAATTTTATAAATAAGATAAATTATGAACATATATAATAAAATAATTTTATTTTCTATCACCTTTCTTTACAAATTAATTAAGAAAAAGGATTATTTTTATCCTTCCCCCTTAACCAAACATTCAGTAAATGACTTACAAATGTGTTTACATAAACTGACTTCAAAAGGAAAGTAAAAGAACCCTCTCAACGGTAGCAAGATAAATAGCAAAACAAGAGACTCGTCAAGACATTGGACCCATGACATAGTGCACTTTGTCTCATATAGCTGATATATAGGTACCTACAGGAACAGTGCGGAAGCTGAAGAAAATCCATACACCTCGAAAGAAAGCAAAGCAACCAAGTTGTTGAGTGTAAAGTAAGTAATATATTGAATCATTTATGATTGTGAGTTGCCATCAATTATTATTTCACTCTTAAACTATTAGCTAACTATACAACCTATAATTTAGAGCTAAGCAATAAGCCTAATATGAAATCTTTTCAAATTATTGACACGCTGGATGGATTTTGACTTATAAAGAAAAAGTAATGCTGCCTCAACCGTGGAGAAAAGGAACGTATCTGTCTCACACATGGTTGTAAGGACGTAGAGAAGAGGGAGATAAGCACAAAAGCGTATAGTCAGATAGCCACTTCTGAATTCCTTTTCATATATTGTATTAGGTTTTATCTATATTACCAAAATATGAATTTTTAGAAATAGTTACTGGAACATGGTTTTTGTATAAAATCGTAAATGACATTTTTATTTGAAGAAGTTAGTTACAAAGAAAGATCTATATGACAACTTTTTGACAATTAAAATGATATTTTTTTTATACATATAAATATCACAATTGATAAGTTTTAAAAAAATTTAAAATATAAAATTGTTTGAGTTTAAAAGATAAACATAAAAAATTGTCAATAATTACTTTTAAAATAAAAAACACTAATAACAAGTTTTAAATTCTGATTTATAAATACATATTTCGATTCATAGTAAATTACAAGTAAAAATTCACATGTTTTAGTATATTTTAATGGTGAGATTATTATAAACATAAGTAAAAGAGTGATATTTATATGTGAAAAGTCAACTTTTATGTATATTTTATACAATATCTCGTTTAAAGAACTAAAACATTAGTTTAGTCAAAATATTGAAGTTAAAATTTCAAAAAAAAAAACAATGGAAAAAATTACTTAAAGGTATCCAATCTCAATTTTTGACGATTTTATGCAATATCAAGCAATTCTAATAAGCAATGATGATGATCTTTAACAAATGTTTAAGATATATTAGGAACATTATCCCTCAACTCCTATTATTAAGTTATATGTTGCTTTTAAAGAAGTTTCAGTTAGCATTTATCAATAAGCTAACAATAAGGAGGAAGAACCATATGCAAGCACCGTTCTAGATATAAAGATAGAATAAGAACAAAATATCATTGAAAGTGATGATGATGACGACTTTGAAGGAAGATATAGAAGCAATGAGAATAGTGATTATGATAATATAGATGATGTAGATTTTCATTTATCAAACTCAATGGTTAAGCAATAGGCATTTGAGGAGTCATCGTTCATATTTGCATTAGATCTTAATACTATGTATGCATCTGAGTTTCTAAAGAATAAAAACACTAGTAGGTAAGTTTTATAATTTTTTTAAGTGGTAAGTTTAATTTATGTTATTTTAATTTGTTTATGTTTATTTTTTATAGGTCATTATGATGTAGATGGAGAACTTATGTTAGAATGCAATAATGATAAAGCAATTATACGAATAATTAAGCATTACAACATATCAAAAGAAGTGAACTACAAAGTTTATAAGATAGAATAAAATAACTTTTATTGTAAATGCGTTAGCTATGACATAGATTATGGATGACTTGTTCGTGCTATTTTAAGAAAAAATAAATATTTTTGAGAAATTAAAAAATATAATAGACTACACGTTGTACTAGGGTAAAGATTTCACAAGATCATAAAAAGTTGAATGTAGACACAAATGCAAAACGTATAATGCCAATAGTAGAATTTAATCATTCTTTTAAGATAAAACTAGTGATTGGTGGGATTTAGTTTTGATATTAATACACCACAATATATCAAAAAATAGAGATAACAAAGAAAAAACATATGGTTAGGGAAAAGACTCGTTCAAAGCATTGTCGCAATTATGTTTTGCAATTTATGATGTTATTTAAGGATCAATTGTTCAATTGGATGTTGCATAGTGTATCACAACGATGAGTTAGTTCTCGATGTTCAAATATTATGTTGAGTGTTTTGTACTTTTGGTTTATGTATTAGAGCATCTAGGGAGTTGCATCGGTGACAGTTGAATAAAACGATAATCATAATATATTGTCAATTGCTTTTTCTATTGTGGAGAGTGAGTTCACATATGTTTGACACTTTTTCCTATAAATTTTATGCAAACATATGATGACTTAAGATGGTGTTAGCATTATTTTTAATTGACATAAGTCTATTAATGTAGGAATAAGGCAAAACATTTGTCAATGGGAACCTCCAAAAATATTTTACATGTATTGTTGTATCAAGTACATTGTACCCAATTAATCTAGTTGAGTTTATTAATTCAATGTTAAAAGGTACTACAATCTTTTAATCACTAGTTAAGGCAACTTACTTCTATTTGAGTGAGTTATTTACAGATAAAGAGAGTGAGACATATGCATAAAAAAAGGTATATATTACAAATAACTTATATTATATATATATATATAATTTCTTTCACTTGATTTTTCTAAAGTTTAAAAAGATAATTTTTTAACTTATAATTAATTTTTATTTAATTTTTATACTTATTTTTTCTTCTACAATAATTTCTCCAAAATTTCACTCAAATTAAACCTTACTATTTTTCACTAGTATAGTTTTTTATTGTCTATTTGAATATCTTTTCGGAACTTTTTTTTGTCCATTTGTATTATTTTTTTTCACCCATTTGTATGTTTTCTTTCTCACCCATTTTTTTTTTCCCATTTGCATGGCTTTCTCTACTCATTATACTGTTTTTTCTATTAATTGGATAGTTTTTTTCACACACACCCTGTGTGTAATGATCATTCCCATTAGATTTTTATTTTAGTAAGAATTTTATATGCATATAAAATATAAGTCGTTTGACTAAGATTATATGTATTTGTTTAATGTTATTTGTGAAAAAAATTGTTATTAATATTCAGTGTTTTTTTATGAAGTAAAATTATTGTTAAACCATGTGTAATAAACGATAGGCTTAATTGCAATTTTTAATCTTTGACATATGTGTGATTTTGTCTCCTTATATTTAATTACTTGTTTAATCTTTCTAATTCTTCAAATGCTCAAATTAAATATTTTATTCTAAAATTTTATCAAATAATCAATAAAAACATAATAAATATATGACATTTTATTGATTTATACAAATAAAAATATAAAATAAAATGTATAAAATATAATACAAATCTTAATTTTGGGGTAAAAACTTGAAGTTTTCAAGATATTAAACTAGTATGTTTATAAAACTAAATGACAAATGCTAACATGCACTTTTAATTCAATCTTTTAAATATACTGTTTATTAGGATATGTAAAATGACAGAGGTCAACTCCTTATTTAATAATTTTTACTTATGCATGATGCTGTGATTTTCATTAATTTCTATAGAAAAAAGCCATGGTTAACTTGTTCCACATTTAATAACATTTTATACACATTGAATTTCATTAATATAACTATTAGTTTAAGAGATCTCAATTAATATGCAGATGAAGTCTATAAAAATTTATAAATTTTAAAGTATATATGATACTCCATCAAACAAACTAGGTTTTAAAAAAATTATGTATATTTTTCATAATATAAGCAAATAATAGTTATAAAATTATTCACCCAGGAATTTTATATATATATATATATATATATATATTTAAATTATAGATATATCTTTCATTGGAGGTATTTTTGTTCGAATTTGAAAGAATCACTGTAGAAAAAAAATCTCCTCTAATTACACACTTATAAATATTTGATTTGTCTAAAATTTAACATACAAGATTGTAAAAATAATATTATATGATTTATTGATTAAAAATTCATAAATTTGATATTTATAGAAAGTTATAAAGCGAAATAAATAACGCAAGCATACTTATCTTTGAAAGCTTGCCCCTCCATGGTGTCCTCTTCACTTGTAATTGTTTGAGTCATTAGTGGAGATAGATCACGCGAAAGAACACCAGCGGTAAGGTTCGAGGCTAAGTTCAATAATTCCTTTTTTGTAATGCAAAATGAAGAGATCCAAGAGATTTTCGAGAACTATAACACTGGAGATGAATGACCAAATTTTCTGTTGGTTTTTGGTTTTAGAATAAATATTCGAAAATTTATTAAGTATATTTAATAATCAATGCATGATTAATTATTAAGGAACGTTACTAAACACTCTCTAACACATTTTTATGGTTAAATGAAATTTATTAAAAATTAAAAAAATATAAGAATTATTAAATTAAAAATAAAAAGTAAGATTCATGTAATTTTTATAATTTTAAAAAAATTAATTAATAATTAAAAATATATTAAAAAAATCATTAGAAGATGTATCAACTTGATTATTTACCTTGGTTTCAAAATAAGGTTAGTTGAGAGTTAAGTGGGCCTACGTGACTCTTTAAAAAAGCTAACGAAAAGCTGATGGGCCTATAGTTGTTGGAGGTTAGGAGGCCTAAAAGACCCTTAAATTGTCCAAATTCTCCCTATAAAAAAAAAATAAGAAAGGGATTCAGATGCTGGTTGACTTAAAAAAAATACACTGAATTGGTAGATAGAAAACTGAATGTACCTGTCCTCACCTCATGGAGGTTCTGTAACCGCGCCCACCTTACACGTGACATTAATAGAAGGAAGATTTTCATTAAATATTATTTTTCATTCTTTAACAATTGGGCTGTGGTTAGCATTCTCCCTTATGATGTTTGACATAGTTCATCGAATCAAGTGGTGCGCAAGGTATATCTTAGTCGGCAGGGTAAGGCATTGACCCAGCACCTTTGTAAATTGTATCCTGTAGCTGAGAGAGAGGTTTGAGACTAAGGGCAGTGTTTACAAACTAGTGGACCCAAGAGAACCCTCACTCCTCAGTATAAGTAATGTTGATTGCGAGTTATGGGACCTAAACGACCCCTTGAGTTCAGCGAGTGGACATAACTTGATTCAGCGCAACTGCTCCAGTGTTCCTAAATGACCCTTAATATATTCTACCAAGAATAATACTCATGCACTCACAGATTATGTACACTTTGTGAATACAAGAACGAGAAGAGAAAGAAGTAAAATTACGATAAGGAATGTGATATAAGAAGAAAAATGAGAAAAAAAAAAGAAAGGTAGAATGCTACAAAGGGTTCAACAAATTCTCAGCATTCAAAAAGAGACGTTCAAGTTATGTTTGAATAAACATCTCAATAAATATTTATAAGCATCAATATTAAATAGTAAAATAAATCAAATTTGTTATAAATTAAAATGAATTTATGTTTTTTATAACTCTAAAAATTCTGTCATTTAATCTCTTTAAAATTTTAAAAAATAAATTGTTTTTAATTTATAAAAAGATTATTTATTTTCTTATCGTATAATAACTTATTTAAAAGTTGATCCATATTTAACCTAAATCAGTATTTCATCGATTAGCATGGCAGTTCATGTTATACTTATGCCTCACCCTTCCTACAAGTTATAATATAATATAATCTAAATACATTATTTAGTTGAAATGCAGTATAATGGAACAAATTTTTTCTTTTTTTTGTGAACCAGGTACGAGGATGTGACTACTTTTATCTTTTTTATTTAGTCATTCCACCCAATATCATATTCAAATATATAAGATAACACATGGTTGCTAACATAGTACGGGCAACCTGAAACATATATGAATGTTGAAAACATAATCTTTCAAATTAATTATTATTACTATTATTAAAAATTACAAAAAATATGAAATTTAATGATTCTCATTTATAATCTTATAAATTTTAATTAATTTCAACTAATAATTAAAAATATATTAAAATATGTTAGAAAAGATATTCCTAATGTTGCTCAAGATATATAAAGGATGCAATTCAATTCCAACAAGTGAAAACCAACCTCCAAAACTCCCATGACATTTTAAGCATTATGATTGGAAGTCAAATATAATAATAATATACAAGCATGATAGTAGTACTCTGAGTGCTTGAAAAGTTGGATCAAATTAGGACAATGCAGGAACAGCATGAAGTTAAAACAAAATCCGAACGAGCGAAATACAAAACAAAGCATGAAAAAAAAAAGGTGCCTATGAATCAAGCTGAGCATACCAAATACCTTGGATCTTGACATCCTTAGGAGCTTTAGCTCCCAAATCAGTGTCGGAGGGCTGAATGCTCTCAAACACACCAATAACCTCACCAGTCTCAGGCTTACTCTTAGAGACACTCAAAGTAATTTTACCTTTAGATGAAGAAGCACTCTTGTTATTCTCCTTAGCAAGTTCTTCCTCATCTCCTCTGCCACCAGCAGGCAAAGCAACAGCATTGTCATAACCAGTGGAAGCACCTCTTCCCTTGGGGTCCAAGAAAGAGCTTCCACGGTAGGAGGGAACCAAAAACTCTCCTCCGAAGTTGTCTGGCTTCCCTGATGCCACCAACTGCTTTATGGTGAAAAGGAAAGGCACGCGCTCACCCCCGGGTAGTTGAACCGTTACAGCGGCGTAATCAATGCCATCTTTCTCTTCAAATTTGATAGCTCCATCGGCTGATACTTCGAAGGGTCCTTCTATCTCGTCCAGCGTGTATGTCAAACGCGTCATGAGTTTTGTGTTTTGGAATTCCAGTGGGGCGTTTTTTGTTACGCCCTCTGCTTTGACTGTGAATGAAGTTGGCTCCAGACACAGCTTTTTGGCTGTGTATTTGCCTGGCTTGAAGGCGAAGGACTCTACTCCTCCCTCTATGGTTGGGCATTGGTTTGCTGTTCCTGTTCCTTTCACTTCCAAGTATGTTTTGCTTTGGATTTCGTCGTATGTTAGTCGCTTCGGCACACCTTCCGCACTTGCTCCCTGCATGTACATTCCCAGTTATCATCAACTATAATTGTCCAATTACTTCTTCAAACACACAACTGTCATGTGATTCCTATGTATGCATTTAATCATTAAATTGATCCTCAATGCATTAGGTCAGAGTGACTTGATCGAAGAAATGTATATTCTTGGACTTCCAAGTTTAACTTCCTTCCTACTATGATGTATAAACACCTTAATTAATAGTATCATCATCCTCTTAACACCCCTTTATGCCTCTATTTATCTTTTTCTGTCACATTATAGTACTTATAATTTTTTTCTCTCAAGGAGAAGTGTATTTGGATTCTTTACTTTTGGGGCAAATCCGTACATTCCAAACATTTTTCATTTCTTCATTCAGGGTCTACTATGAATAAAGTTTTATCTTAATTTGACTATTTACTCCATCTATAATAAACTGAGCACCCCTTTAGCAGACACGTCTCATCATTCTAGTTAAATAATTACTAATACAAGTTGATATTTTCAAGGTTGAGCCCTCTGCTTGACACGGACAGTGGTTTCCTTACAATAGGTAGTATCTCATTTATGTTGGGTGAAGAAGATATGTGATATACTAGTTGAACTTAAAAATATGTGTAGATTACTGAACAGACCACAGGCTAGGGATCAAAAAGCTCTTAATGAGATATCATTTGATTAATCCAAAGCAACATTTGTCATTGACTTCCAATCAAATTGGCACCAGATCGTTCATCACAACGAAATGGAATTCAAAATTTGATAACTAAGGTGAAGGGATATGGATACTCTTGGGCCTAACCTTGAACTTAATTATATCATACTATGTTATTAAACATAAGATATCCAAATTTCAATGAAAGAGTGACTTTAAATTCAATTGACAGTTAACGTTTAACTGTATCAAATTGGAAAAAATAAATAAATAAGAGAGAGAGAGACAGCAACGTACAGAGACAACGAGAGCAGAGGTGGCAAGGGCGAATCCTGCAATTTTGGTGGCGTCAACACACTTGTGAGCCAAGTCCTTAAGATCAGCCTGAAGGGAGCAGGTGACCTTAGCTCCAACGGGTTCCAACCCAAAAGCCTTAGAAATGGACTGAGTAGACTTAAGCTGTGAAGTGGTGCTCCTCATGCCCAACTTGGTGGGTTGCATGAGCGTAGCTGCTGCTTGTAGTGACGCTGCCATTGTTGCTATTGCCACCAATGTTCCCTCAATCTCTGTAGGTTCTCTAAACTAACCAGTTTGAAAGTGTTTTTGTGTTGGTGGAGAGTGAAGGGTGAACAATTATTTGGTGGCTGTGGTGTGAGTAAGATAACGGATAGGATAAGGTGATATCTTATTGGATGATTCAAGCTAATGCCAGTGGTTCTGTTGGTTGACACGTTGTAAGCTTCAAAATTGGGATAAAGATACTTTTGGTCAGAATTTTGTTGACTAATAGGATCGACCACAAACTCCACCATTTAAAAATCTGGAGGAACATGGATCCCAAAACACACAAACCACGTATATTTGTCAGACTAGGAAGATGGTCGAAAATCGGATATTAGATTGAGAAATTATATTTATTCAGAAATATATACAGAAACTTATATAAATGAGAGACGAAAAGAGTTGAGAAAAAAAAATTATACAAGTAATGTGATATAAAAACAAAGAATAAGAATATTTATATAAATATGATATTCTACTATATTAGTTTATGCAAGCCTTTACACATAAGGTTGCTGTAACCTAATGGTCATTGCAAAGGAGTTAATAAATACATAAATTTGAGTGACTAAATGTAAGTTTTGGAAAATGTCGTATTGTTTATTCAGTTTAAAACTGTTACTGAAAATTCAATATCTATGAAATATAAAAAGTTCAATGATAAAATATTATAAGGACATGTTGACACGAATAAGATGTAATCAATGTTATTAAAATCGTTCTGTTCATTGATTAATGAGTTGTCGGATTACTCGCTCACTTGGTGAATCATTAATTGAATCTTGTAAGAGAACTAATTCTCAATCAGAAAATTCATATGGATCATCTCATCACATGTTCAAAGTTTTAATTCTATGAAAAGGTTTTGATATCTATAGTTCTTGGGTTTTTTATTTAAATATTGTAAAATTAAAAATAAATTTTTAATTTATTATTTTTTTAAAACTATTTCCACTTGACAATAATTTTGCTAAAATAGTTGGTAAAAATATTAAATTTTTATTTTTTAAAATAAATTTCGCAACTAAAAAAGTAAAATAACTAGATTATGACATATAGCTTAATTTTGTAATATAATTGACAAAATTAAATATCAATTTTGTTATACTAAGCGCGAAACTTTTAGATGGTGTTACATGTCACAATCTAAGTAAGTTTTATCATAAAAATTGCACAACTTACAAGAATCTTACACGTGATACAATTTTAATTTATTGCACAGATTTATCTTTATTAATTTTAATAACATAATCAAATCAAATCAAATTTAGATTTACATATAAATCATTACCACATTTAAAATAAAAATCAAATTATTAACATAATACTAAAAAATATTTATTTATTTACATACAAATTCAAATTATATCTTAATTAAATAAATTTAAATCACTGATATAATTAAAATTTTTATCATTAAATATCAATTATGATTACATTGAAATTAAAAAAAATTAAATTACTAACATAAACATACAAATTACTATTAATTTTTTGTTAAAAAAATCTAAATTACTAACATAATTACAATAAAAAAAATTGTTGATTTTTTCAAATTCTTCAAATTACGTACGTGCGATTTTGTTGATTTTTTTATTTAAAAAATATATGTAATGGATATTTTTTTGAGCCACAAAAAATAACTTCTAATTTTTTAAAAAGGGTGCAACAAAATTCTTTATTGTAATTACATTAGTAATTTTGACTTTTTTAATGAAGAATTAATAGTACTTTGTATAGAAATATAAAAAATATTTTCTTGTATTATGTTATTATTTTTTTAAAAAATTAATATAATCATAATTGGTATCTAATGATAAAAATTTTAATTATGTTAGTGATTTAAATTTATTTAATTAAAATATAATTTGAATTTGTATGTAATTAAAAAAAATATTTTCTAGTATTATGTTAGTAATTTAATTTTTATTTTAAATGTGATAATAATTTGTATGTAAATCTAAATTAGATTTGATTTAATTGTGTTATTAAAATTAATGAAGGTAAATTCGTATAATAAGCTAAAATTATATTACATCATATTCTTGCAAGTTGTGCAATTTGTATGGCAAAACTTATTCAGATTATGATATATGTCACTGTATGAAAGTTTCGCGTTATATATGACGAACTGACATTTAATTTCACTAATCATATTATAAAATTATACTGATGGTGACACATTTCATGGTTTGATTGTGTTTCTGATAGTGAAATTTATTTTTAAAAATAAAAATTTAATATTTTTATCAATTGTTTTAACAAAACTATTATCACTGATATACTGGGATAGAAAAATAATTTTAGAAAAACAATCAATTAAGAATTTGTTTTTAATTTACAATATTTAAATAAAATAGTCTATTTCTTGAGGTTTTTTTTTTTTTTTAATGAATTTTACATCATCACGCCAAAAAGGAAAGGACACTAGCTCCTAGGATATCAAAGGGATTGGGTCCAAGACGGAAAGCATGTAGAGATAAGAGATCAAATTGGATAATAAAGGTATAAAATAGATCATCTGATCCAAAACACAAGCCTACACGACTAAAGTACCAAAGATAGACCAATACACGTGCTTAAAACTGAAAAAGACTAATACACCTGGCTTGCACCACTAGAAGAAAAGTAAAACAGCGTCGAGAAATAGGAGTGAGCATAACCTATGAGTCCAATTAAAAGCTGTTTAAATCCAAAAAGAAAAAAGCAAACCGCAACAATGGTTATGACGGCCCTATAATACATTTCTACATGGGTCCATTTGATGGATAATAGATGAGCAACAATGGCCCAACCGCAACCGAATTTAAGTATCAGACTAATTATGTGTAGTATTTAACATACTCAATTATATTGGTTTTGTTGTTTGTGTCATTTCGGCTTATTCTTACTGAATATTTTATCTTTGAGTTTAAAATAAATTTAATATGTCATCTTTTTTTTTTCAAGTATTTTGAATTGTTACTTTGTTATATAATACCTCAATACTATTTTAGTTTATATTAAGTTCGTATGAATATATTGATTCACATTAAATTGGTCTTAATGTGATGAATGAGTGTAATATATATATATATATATATATATATATATATATAACTATAGTACCAGTTTCTAAAGATCCTGAATGTCAATACTGAAACAATCATCTTCATTTTGATCTTCTTCAATATTGGCATTTTGGTTAGAAGATTCTCCTTCTTCTTGGTTTTGCAATAACAGGAGAACATCTTGAAGATTTTTCTTCATTTTCTCTTTGGTATCGCATCCTGATAAGAATGCTGCAATTTTGGATTTCTGATTAAGGAATTGGAATGTTGCTGGGTCAGCAAGATTTAATAATTTGGGATTTTTCCCAAAATATTCAGCAACTCCTTCTGGTCCGGCATGTTCCGCATTGAATTGATTCCACCATTTTACAAAGGAATACCTGTGTAACAATGGGAGAGTGTCTTCATTTTCTGTCTTGCCATATCTGTATTGCCATGAGAATACCCATGCCAGGGCAAAATCAGAGAAGTATCTAAGATCTGCTGGAATTCTTGATTCTCGCAGATATCTGCCTTTGTAAATTTTGTATCCTTCTTTGACAGGAGTGGGAAGGATTTCTTCTATTGGTCCAAAATAATCCCACCATTGGAGGAACCAATTTGGAAAGTTATAATTCTGATTCTTCTTAAAATATATTAACCAAGAATGTCGGTTAAGTTTATTTTGGAACCAGAAAGTTCTTGTCCACGCGTCAATGTAGTCCCAATAATTATATCCTACTGGATCAAATGGTTGGGAAAACTTTTTATAAGAATTTAAATTTTTTCCAAAAGCCTTTGGAGTTAAGACTTTCAGGATTTGTATTGTTGAATGGGTTGTAACTGACGGCTCCTTGTGGTCCTTGTAATGCTTAATGGAAACAGAATCTGAATCCACTAAGATAAACTCATAAAACTGTCTGGTTTTATTAGCCTGATATGGTCTGAAATGAAATCCTGGTGGGAAGACTTTAGTAATTGCCTTGTATGGGTTTTTGTCCCAAAATTCAGGTTCCATTTGTATGACTGAGGAGAATTTTCCTTTGGCTACATAATGGCTTGGGTTTGAAGTTTTTTGTTTTCCCTTTTGAAGGTCAAGGGTTCCTTCTCCTTCTGTTTTATTGGTTATTGTTTTTTGGGTTTGGTTGAAGGTTTGGAGTATAGTGTTTAGGCTTGCTAAATCTAATTCCATATCTTCTTCAGAGGCAATGTCTGCCCAAGATTTATTTGGTAGGCTACTCAAGCTTCCTTGTTGGATAGCTAAAAGCGTACTAATTGGGAGAGCATAATCTGTTTTGGTTTGTTTGGTGGTTTTGACAACAGAATCAGTCTTTTTGAAGGATTCTTTTGGAGTTCCAGATTGCTGAGTTGATGACTCAACAACTTGGATTGCCTTTTGAGTCGATGACTCAATGGGGGTCGATGACCCAGAAGAAGAGGTTTTTGAATCTGCTGAAGCAGATTGTGGTCTTGGTTTATTTAGAGTCAGAGCTAATCTGACTTTGCCGCCTCTGGTGGTTCCTCCCCTAGAAGGGGTAACTGCCTTTCTAGGCATCTTACTTATCCTGTAAATATTCACGGGTAAGATAATCAGGAAGGGAGTTTGAAGTGCCTTTGAGATATTCTATGTCGAAATCAAAAACACTTAAAATTGCTTGCCATCTCGCAAAAATTTATTTTGAGGCAAGATTTTTAACATCCTTTTGTAAAATTTCTTTGGCAGACTTGCAGTCTACCCTAATTAAAAAATTTTTGTTTAATAAATCAGATTGGAATTTTGAAACGCATAAAACAATTGCCAAAACTTCCTTTTTAACAGTAGAATAATTCTGTTGTGCAGAATTCCAATGTTTTGAAGTGTATGCAATGATATGCTCATGAGACTTGATTTTTTGTTTAAGAATACCTCCATAACCTATGTCTGAGGCATCAGTTTCAACGATTTTGAAGGCTTGGGGGATGGGAAGATATAGGCAATTTATCTTCCTGACTTTGTTTTTTATTTCTTTAACGACATTAGTATGGACATCAGTCCAAGGGGGAGGATTTTTCCTAAGCCTATCATGTAAAGGCT